ATTATTTATATCTTGAATGTTATCATTATCCATGCCAAATATCCAATCAAATTTGTTAAAATCATCTTGATTAATCTATATAAATAAAAAGATTTAAATACAATAAACAATTTATAACAATGTGACTTGGATAATTCTAAATAATTGTTTAATTATAGTCATAATATTTATATATATTCATTCTTATTAAAAAATTTCTAAAATTGTTCACATCAAAAGAGACCAAGATATTGTTATTTATATGAATTACAATGAGATGAAATTTGTATATTATAATTTAAACGTTTAATTTCAGCTACTGTCTTACTTGGCGTGCTCTGTGAGAATAATTAGTGATCCCATTTTCCTTTAGCGTACTGAAAGCTCTATGATCTGGCATTTTACCTGTATGATATCCTATAAGAGCAGCGCTTTCTATTTCCCATTGATTCTTCAAACCTCTCTTGCTCATTTCATTTTCAAATACAGCTTCTGCTATTGGTGAACGACAAATATTGCCTACAACATGAAATATACAAGTAGTAATTAATAAACATCATATAACTACATAAATCTTTTAGAAATTTTTTTTTCTTTCCATTGTATATATTTAATATTTTTACCTAAACAAATCATAAGTACTCTTTTTTTCTGCGGCATCTTCTATATATAAAACACAGTTTACACTTTTGTATATAAATAAAAATTATTTAAAGAATATTTTATACATTTCACATCACACGAACAAGACGATAAGATTTAGGCTGCTTTCCAGGAAGGAGACACTGAAAAGACACTGTATCATACAATTGAACCACAGATCAAACTACGCTTGAAGATTGAAATTTGACCAATCAGGACAAAGAAATTTTAGTTCCTTTTGTTCTGATTAGTCAAATTTCAATCTTTAATGTCCAATTTTCAATGCGTAGTGAGGGTATCGATTCTGTAATTCAAGTGAAGGTGAAAATTACAAAAATGAGCGAATTTACTAAAAAATTTATAATTTCATTGGTCCAAACCTAGTAAATTTGTTCATTTTTGTAATTTTCACTCTTACTTAAATTATAGAATCGATACCCTGATACGGACTTTAAACGAGATTGGCATTTAGGAGTAAAGTTGCGTTTGATTGACCAATCAGGACAAAAGAAACAAAAATTCCTTTCTTCTGATTGGTCAATCAAACGATATCCACATACGTGAAGTTTTGACATCTAACCCTATACATAACCTAGTTGTTACTATAGGTCGACGCTCAAGTGGCAGAAAACAGTTGGCAATACTGACGGGTATTAGGGATTAAAATGTTTCGCGTTGAATCTGATGCTGTTCCTTTCCAGTGCATAACGTTGTACTAAACACGTGGTTACGATTGTAATTATTGAAATTAAGGCAAAATACGCAGCGCATCACGCAAGTACGTATATTGTTTTATTCGCTATATACGAGGATCTCATTTATTTGCAATACAATGGACTCGATCAGTCCGGGAATAAGTTATTCAACATACATATCGTAGCGGCATTTCGGCCCCCGTGTCGCCCATTACCACCCATTACCACATATATCAGAAAAATATTATTATACAGTAACAAATAAAACAGTTCACGCTTTTAATCTATCGTATCTGTGTTAAAGCGATTAACAAATCGAACTGAATTCTTTGTTTTCTTACATGGTCCTAATGTCACTACTATTAGACAGGATTGCACAATGTTATGTATATTGTTGCTTGTCTCTCAAAAGAAAACGTACAAAATATGTAAAAAGATATGCTCCCTGTTTGACAGAACGACATATGAGTGTACTTTTGGCGAGAGATTTTCCAGCAACTGATTTTCTGTTTTGCAGAATGCCATTGGCCAGAGATTTTTTACATCCCAGTCCCATCGAGGAGAAAAGGAAACACAAGCTGAAGAGGCTTGTGCAGAAGCCCAATAGTTATTTTATGGATGTCAAATGTCCGGGCTGTTATGCCATCAAAACTATATTTTCCCATGCCCAAAGGCCAGTAGAATGTGACGGATGCCGTACGATACTTTGCACACCGACGGGTGGAAAAGCAAGACTAACGGAAGGATGCTCTTTTAGAAGAAAAGTCCAATGTTAATTTTACGTGATGTATTTAATGCTTCTCTTTATATTCGATAAATAAATACCATCACATTATAACATTCTTTTGTTATTGAACATGTTTTACTTGTATATTATATAGAATATATTGCATTGAATACATAAGATTTGTACTAAAGATATTTTTCAGAAATTTGAAGTTAGATCTTCATATATATTGTTAGTTTATAAATGATAAATTGCAATTATCTTGCAAAGAATTTTCTACTATTAATAAAATTAGAATAAACATGAAATAAAATTGCAAAACTATATTTGAATTAATTTTAATTAAATTTCTTTATAAAATATTGAAAAAAAACTTAATTTTTACAAAACATTTAAAATTGTGCTTTAAACTATATATTATTCTACAGTTTTTACATTGATTTCTAAATTTTATTTTATTTTCTATACATGTGAATATATGTGTATATGTAATATAAATAATATTATATCTGTAATTTACAAAAAAAAACCGCATAAATAAGGACATAGATATAATCATAAATTTTTATTTTCATACATGTCAGGGATCATTTTTATAATAAATTCGACAATATGTAACAGCGAGAGAGAGAGTTCTATGGTACTGTATTTCAAGATACTCGAATCTCATGCACGATATGCGGATGAAACAGATAGCTTCTATAAATATAGGCTGCTGCGCATGCTTGCGTGCTATGATATCTTTTATAGTTCATATTTTACGGCAATATCCTAATTGATGAAAAAAAGAAAAAACTTAAGAATGTAAGATTGCGTTGTATGCTTGAAATACTCCAGGAGCGACTTCCACTGACCGAGATTTCAGGGATAACTGTAATTAGAGAAAAAGGAATAATTTTAAAATTGCGGAATTTTTGTGAGAAACTATAAAATAAATATAATAATCTTCCCATGTGATTATCTCCTAAACTAGTGGCTATTTAAAAAATTATACTCTAATCCAGAACAAAATTACACTAGACGATAGAATGTGCCCCTTTGAACCAAATAATTATGATCTGATTAAATTTCTTTAAATAACCATTAAAATTTCTTGGAGATAATTGCGTTGGAAAAATTAAAATGGAACATTCTGTATTAAACATACTGTGACATCAGGATTGCCTGGCTGGATCTTCAACTCGTTCAACACCCAAACATTGTTTGTCAACTTGAGAGACTGATAAAGCATGTCTTGACCCTCCACGTTTCTCTTGGCAATTGTGAAGACATTGTTCTGTTGCATTTTTTGCACAACTTGATCCGCGGTCAACATTACTCCATTTAGCGTATATTGTACCTGCAATGTATATGTCTTAAAAATTTTTTATCAATTATCAACATTTTGTAAACCTTACAGTATATCATTTCCGTATAAATATATATAGACGTGAAAGTTGGTGATGTATTAATACCTCATTTTGTGCAGGTATATCTTTCCAAGTTGAAAGAAATACTCTCTTGTCCAATTGGCCATCCTCTGCGAAGTACACGTTCATTGGGACGAGACACGCGAAGTAGAAAACGTCGATATTGTTCTTGATAGCGACTTGAAGATTGTTTAAGGGCTCCATGCGTTGTACTGCACCCGAGGTAGACAATATAACATTCGTTTCTATACTCGCTCCAGGATTCAGGGGAGCCGGTACTTGCAACGGAGCTGCCGGCGTTAGTCCAAAGCTGTTTTTGTTAAGCTGTATCGCGAATCCTCCCATGGGTTGCATCGCCTTATTCGTGAAAGTCATATCCATGCTAATCTGTCCGTTCCTACGATATCGACATAACATTTCATGCGGTATAATTATTCGCACATCGAAAACGTGATATGTTAATATATATTAATTGATATATCATGTATATAGTATTAATTACTTTCTCGTGAATGTGCCCCAAATATCGAAGCCCTTGCCTTTTTCGGCTGGCAGCCAGTTAACTTTGGGAGGTATATAAGACGTGGGGCCTTGGCTGAAGCCGAATATGTCGCCGAGCAAACCTGTTGTACTCTGGGAAACGACCGGCGCTGCGGTTGTGCTATCGGTATTGCTTAGAATCCCGTCCAAACCGCCGCCTAGAAGATCTAGTCCTAATCCCGCTGATTGTGGCGCGGGTGTCGGTGTGACTATTGCTGGTCCACCTGAAATAGAGAGTAAGCATTGAATATTACCATGTGAATAGACGTATTAAAATAACAAATCATATTAAATGAATGTAGACAATAGGATACTTTTATCCATGATTTAAAAAATAAAAGAAAGGTAACATACTATTTTAAAAAAAAGGCAGATTAGAATATTTTTATATGTACACACAACACTTGTTAAATTTATGTTATTATGCATTTTAATTTTCCGGTTATCAAGTCTAGGATTCACCTACCGATGTCCATACTGAGGAGGTCGCCTATCAGAGAATCTTGAGCGGGTATAACCTGCGCATGAGACTGTGCTGCATTTGTTGTGCGGGCAGAATCTTCATTTGAATTGCTTCTAGCAGGCAAGGACTTTCTAGCGCCCGCGGCTCTGCCCTCGACGAATGCCGTGGGAGGTTTGTGATACACGGACGCCAAGCTCGAGATATGACAAATCAATTCGTCCAACAGCGTCGGCTCTAACAGATCTGTTTCTTCCGAGATTAGAGGTTTTTCCGCGAGCACCACCTCCTTAGCCGCCGCCGGATCGGTGCTAAGTAGCCGCCAGTAAATAAAACCGCGGTCTCGCAGGTCGGGATTATCAGAATCTTGTGTCGCCAGACTGAGCACTTGCTGAACCAGCTCTTGTGTATCTGTCGGTCTCTTGAGAAACAGTTTCACGATCGCCGTGAGCAGTTGAAGCTGCACTTGTGTGTTCTCGTCGTGGAATCCCTCCAGGAAGCTCTCTAACAGTTCGTCTGCATTATCGATACGCTCCGCGTATTCTCCAATGATCCAAATCATGGAAGCACGCGCCTCTGGCTCGTCAAGTGTGTCCAGATTTTCGCATAGAGTCGAAATTATGCTCTCATACTTATTAGGATATTTGCGGAAGATATCTTTTATTACCACAATCGCTTCTTGAACAACATAGTTCACCTGAAAAGAAAAAATTGAAAAATTAAAAAAAGGAGATCGTAAATAATCAAATAATTTTAAAAGATCAACAATATATTAAGATTATCAAAAGAATAAATTTGATCATTCTCTTTGCTTCAGAACATCTTTTATTTAATTACCTTGGTTTGTATCAGGTCTAGCAATGTGGAGACGCAACGTTCTGCGGATGGTTCAACTTTTATGGCGCAACGACCGATAGCCCTCACAGCCTTCCTTACAAAATCCACATCAACCTCGGTAGCGTATTCTTTCAGCTCCGACAGAACTTGCGCGATATTAGCCTGCGACGCTAAACGAATCATAATATCCAGCTTTTCCAGTTTTACATATATTGGATCGTTGTATTTGACAAAGAATACTTTCATCTCATGTTTCAAAATATCGGGTCGCTTCTGCACGATGAGATTGATGTTTCTTAATGCGACGTATTGAACTTCTGGCTCGGAGCTCAATAATGTGACGAGAGGAGGTGCTAATTTCTTTGTAAGTGTGCCGACGAAATCCGATTCGGATTGCAACATCTCCATCAGTTTCATTAATACCTGTGTATCAAAGCAAATTCAATTAATATAAAATCGTTAAAAAAAAAAAAAAAAAAAGCGGAACTACAAACTCTTGAAAATTATTTTAAAGAACCCAAAAAATAAAATTGAGACATTTATTTCTTTTAATTCTTAGATTCTACAACTAATGTAATGTGATAAATTGTATAAAATATGATTTATTAAGTTTTTCTCTTCTTCTGGATCTATAATTTATTCATGCGTTTACCTTGACAGCAGAGAGCACGACTGCAGCATTAGCATGCGCCAGACGTGGAGTGATTCGTTCGCAGATGCTTTGCGCCTCGCGATCGTCCTTGGGCGAATAATTCGCCAGTGAATCCAAGATGAAAACTTGGCCCCATTCTGTACACTCGTTGAGGGCCGTTAGTAGTTTGTTTATGGTCTGTGCATTCATCTCCACCAATGGATGACCGCTCGGACTGGCCTCGTTGATCTCGGACAATGCAGCTACTGCGTTTGCGACAACCTAGCAATAATCATCACTGTGTGTTATCATATTATTTAGTCTTGTAATTTTTTAAAGAATGGCGATTCAGATAATTTTAATCCCTTTGGTTTAAAAATTTCTCTTTTGCCAATTTTTCTAATAATATATTTTATGAAATATATGCAGACGTAAAGTCTGAGAATGTTGATTTGCTATTGTATTTAAAGTCTATCAAGCTCTGACAGACTGGAAAGCTAACGTACCATTGGATTGCTGTCGGACAGAAGATCCTTCAATTGATCCAGAAATCCCTGGTCCTCGACCAAGGCCGCATTAATGTCATAAAGTTTGGCGACGCACACAGCTGCGGTCTTGCGTACATACGGATCCTCGTCCTTCAGGCACTTGCGCAGCGGCTCGCACAGATATTCGGTTATCTTGTCAACGCGTATGCATCCCATCGTGCGAACTGCTAGCGCGCGAATCAGCGGATTTGGGTCCTCGCAATCCTGCGCAAAAATCGGGCAAGCCAGGGATTCAAGTCTAGTCACAGTAGTGGCTATCTATCTCAACCCATGAATTTTAACAAAGTAGAAAATAGCATTGGTACCTTTGTCATCGGAGATGTCGCTAGCTCCTTTTGCGTGTCAGAACGAAAAAGGTCAAATTGGTCACCGTCACCATTTTTCATTAAGTGTTAAATACTATACTTATCACTCATTTATAAAATAGTATATGATCAAGAACTGGTCATTTTTTAAAGAGCACGAGGTATCGCTTATATTGTAAGTTCTTTTTTTTCTTTTATACAATTGCTCTGGCTTTAGAAGAAAGTTAAATTACGAATGTTACACCAATATCAGCATCATGCAAATAAAGATAACTTAAACAAGGTACGTATATATATATCATCTAACATAGAAAAGAGCATATTTACAGAATATTTATATTATTTGTATTATAAAGTATTATATTTATAACACGAATTATACATTCATTAGATACATTAAAATTTTGAGAATAATATAAATTGTGCGTGCAATTAGTAAATATGATCTTTATACAAGCACCAATTGCAATTATATATATATAAATGAAATAACATTTAAGGAATCACATTCTTCATGCTGCTGCACATTAGAAATTTGCGAGTAAGAGATGAACGTTTGAATTTATCATTCTTCCAGACAGTATTTGCATAATTTAAACAATTTGATTTAAAATATATTTGTCACAAATATATAACAATACGGAAAAATATACAATTTGCTTCAAGCGATTCGAGTAAAAATTGAAATTTGCGTGATTTTTCACAAATCAAAGAAAGTTACACATGCTCAATATTCCATGAAAATAAAATTATATGTATTAGTGCATTAGCGTGAGGAAAGTAATATATGTATGAGATTTTATAAACTTCTCTATCAATTTTTATTTAATTACTAATCAATCACATGTAAATATACATATTAATATAATGGTATACACTTAATGGAGTACATTCTGGAATTTGGTTTTGCATACAAAAAGATGTTATAAAAAAAGGAGATGTTTCCACACGTTACATTATTATATAATTTGATCATTCAAGAAATAATAAATTATTATTAAAATATAAAATATTATAGCAACCAAAGTCCAGACCTCATCTCCCCTCCCCTTTCCCTCTGTGCCCTTTGAAAAATAAACAGTTCAGTCGTAATGAAGTTACGAAAAAGTTACATTCCGTCCCGCAGACAGCCCTGTGCAAACTGTAATTTGCAAAGCACAGTCTGTATACAGTGCGAGGCACGCTGTAAAATAACTACAGCGAGGATAATATCCGAAAATGAGACATTTACAGTACCGACGAGAGAGAGAGACTTAGTGTCATCAGGGATACACGAAAATGAACAATTTTTTCAGCTTGCCTCTCTTTACAGACAGACTCTGAATGTTATCCAAGTGTCATTAAGAAATATGTAATATAGAGGGTAAAGGTGCGTTATATAATAAAATTGTGATCACGAATTGAGTTTACTAGTTTCTAAGCTACGTTACCTTGACGAACGTGTTGACCGCCATGATGGCCATGTCCGGTTGACTCTTGGCGTAGTTCATCAGATACAGATACACCAGTTTTTTCAGCTCCAAATTGTCAGTCTGCATGCAGTTCACCACGTCGGGAAATAACGCGGACACGTCTTTCCCGACTGTCATAGAAGCAATAACCTGGACAAATAATTAATGATAGATATGTATTATTAAATAATATAATGTTATTGCAACATAAGTGATAATATATAAAATGTAATATTTTTAATAGATATAGATTCTGTTCTATTATTTTAATTATCATTAAAATTAATTATTTTTATTCTACATTACTTTCTAAAATAAACACTTTATGTAATTACTATTATCTTATACATAATTTGTTATTAATATATAATCTGTTTCATATTAATTGGATGATTCATAATAACTAGAGCAATGCAATCATAGAAATATATATCTTGCTAGTCTACAGTAATATATTGTTTTTTTAATTTTAGAGATACAAATAATTTGTTTCTCTCTCTTAGCGTATTAAAAAATAAAAAAAAGCTTTTTAACATTTTTTTTTTGTTTTTTAAAGGAAGTTTAAAACAGCATATAGTAGTAGATTTTTATGTTTACCTTCTTTACAGCTTCCTTCTTCTTTTCTTTTTTCTCATTATTAAGTTCTGACTTGAGCTCAAATATCTCCCCCTTCTTTGTAGTGGTAAAATACTTTGAGTCGGTCATCTTGTCTATACAGTATAGCATGTAATAAAATACATAAATTATATAAATTTGCAATCCAAGAATAAAATATCATATATTAAATATATAGAATATTAAAGAATTTGATTTATATCTACTTTCTTCAATCTAATATCGCTAATTTCTTTATAAAAATGCTAAAGTCTCAATAATTACTTAACTATAAGCAATCATATAATATATAAACTTATTTAAAATAAAAGTAATGAATAAAATTGATAATTTATGTAAATTTTACCACACAAGTAAAATTTTACTAAAATTAACTACAATGGCACTATCAAAGTATTTAATAATAGGGTCAAAGCAGCAAGTGTGTGAAATGCAATGGATATGTCAAAATTCACATCAGCTGAGGGGAACTCGGATGAGAGGGGAGGGGCGGGAGGGTTGATAATTCCGAGATGCCTGCAGTGAAATTAAGATTTCGCTATACAGCTTCTTCTACGATTTGAACTGGCATCGATCGAACAAGATAAAGGTCCAAAATCTCATTGTCAACCTTCGCTATATAGCATGGATCAATGTCCCGCGAATCTATGGTGTCATAATGCTAACTCCCTCGCCGATTAAGCCGAGTGTCAAGCTGTACATCGAATGTAGAGCTCGTCTCGAAAACGATACTGCAGACGTCTCGGAGGTGGATACGGGAAGGCGATAGGGAAACGCGGCGTTTAACGCCAATAGAACGGAGTAAAAGCGTGAAACGTTACGGAGTATCTCGAACGGTTGCATCTGGAGCGGAGCCAGCCGCGGCAACTATTCGCTCATTAATTACCTATCTATTTTGTAGCGAAGAGGCGGAGAAGGGGCGATCAAAACAATCGTAAATTATCCGACAAACAGTCGCGTGAACGGAATCGAGACGCCGCCCACCCCGAAAAAGCTCGTATTCTGGTAAAGACTGTAGGCGACACCGTATACGATGACACCCCGTCGTATGACACTTCGCCACACGCTATCGGAGAACGCAGGCCTCACGCACATGTAGAAGACAGAGACAGGTAGTAAAGGTTCACGGAGTTATCGATAAGTAAAATGACTCCGATTGGTTATTTCCAAACGTGGAGCGTGTGTACTTGACATTAGGTCTGCTATTTATAAGTGTCGGTCTACAATAGTGATTTAAGCTCTAAGCCTTAAGAAATTGACTAATCACAGTCGAGTATTCTCCTCATACTTGATCGTGATTGGTCAATTTCTTAAGGCTTAGGGCTTAAAATCTCTATTGTAGACGTCGCTTTAGTGTCGGTCTACAATAGTGATTTAAGCTCTAAGCCTTAAGAAATTGACTAATCACAGTCGAGTATTCTCCTCATACTTGATCGTGATTGGTCAATTTCTTAAGGCTTAGGGCTTAAAATCTCTATTGTAGACGTCGCTTTAGTGTCGGTCTACAATAGTGATTTAAGCTCTAAGCCTTAAGAAATTGACTAATCACAGTCGAGTATTCTCCTCATACTTGATCGTGATTGGTCAATTTCTTAAGGCTTAGGGCTTAAAATCTCTATTGTAGACGTCGCTTTAGTGTCGGTCTACAATAGTGATTTAAGCTCTAAGCCTTAAGAAATTGACTAATCACAGTCGAGTATTCTCCTCATACTTGATCGTGATTGGTCAATTTCTTAAGGCTTAGGGCTTAAAATCTCTATTGTAGACGTCGCTTTAGTGTCGGTCTACAATAGTGATTTAAGCTCTAAGCCTTAAGAAATTGACTAATCACAGTCGAGTATTCTCCTCATACTTGATCGTGATTGGTCAATTTCTTAAGGCTTAGGGCTTAAAATCTCTATTGTAGACGTCGCTTTAGTGTCGGTCTACAATAGTGATTTAAGCTCTAAGCCTTAAGAAATTGACTAATCACAGTCGAGTATTCTCCTCATACTTGATCGTGATTGGTCAATTTCTTAAGGCTTAGGGCTTAAAATCTCTATTGTAGACGTCGCTTTAGTGTCGGTCTACAATAGTGATTTAAGCTCTAAGCCTTAAGAAATTGACTAATCACAGTCGAGTATTCTCCTCATACTTGATCGTGATTGGTCAATTTCTTAAGGCTTAGGGCTTAAAATCTCTATTGTAGACGTCGCTTTAGTGTCGGTCTACAATAGTGATTTAAGCTCTAAGCCTTAAGAAATTGACTAATCACAGTCGAGTATTCTCCTCATACTTGATCGTGATTGGTCAATTTCTTAAGGCTTAGGGCTTAAAATCTCTATTGTAGACGTCGCTTTAGTGTCGGTCTACAATAGTGATTTAAGCTCTAAGCCTTAAGAAATTGACTAATCACAGTCGAGTATTCTCCTCATACTTGATCGTGATTGGTCAATTTCTTAAGGCTTAGGGCTTAAAATCTCTATTGTAGACGTCGCTTTAGTGTCGGTCTACAATAGTGATTTAAGCTCTAAGCCTTAAGAAATTGACTAATCACAGTCGAGTATTCTCCTCATACTTGATCGTGATTGGTCAATTTCTTAAGGCTTAGGGCTTAAAATCTCTATTGTAGACGTCGCTTTAGTGTCGGTCTACAATAGTGATTTAAGCTCTAAGCCTTAAGAAATTGACTAATCACAGTCGAGTATTCTCCTCATACTTGATCGTGATTGGTCAATTTCTTAAGGCTTAGGGCTTAAAATCTCTATTGTAGACGTCGCTTTAGTGTCGGTCTACAATAGTGATTTAAGCTCTAAGCCTTAAGAAATTGACTAATCACAGTCGAGTATTCTCCTCATACTTGATCGTGATTGGTCAATTTCTTAAGGCTTAGGGCTTAAAATCTCTATTGTAGACGTCGCTTTAGTGTCGGTCTACAATAGTGATTTAAGCTCTAAGCCTTAAGAAATTGACTAATCACAGTCGAGTATTCTCCTCATACTTGATCTGACCAATCACGATCAAGTATGAGGAGAATACTCGACTGTGATTAGTCAATTTCTTAAGGCTTAGAGCTTAAATCACTATTGTAGACCGGCACTAAAGATCCTCAAGTTGTGGGATCTTGTAGGATAAAGTAGAGTTTAATCGACCAATCAGGATAAAAGGAGCAACGATTTCTTTATCCTGATTGGTCAATTAAATGCTACTCTACTCCACGTAAAATTTTCGAACGCACCCATACTATAATAATATATCTTAATATAATTATCCTTTCTTTGTATATTCGTTCGTCTATGCCTAAAAAAAAAAAAAAAATTTGTTGCGGTCTCGATTTTCGATAACAAAATGCCGTGCTTCTAGCCTAAATATATATCAGAAAAGATAAACAAATGCGTGACAGAAAAGATTTATGAGTATTTGTAAACGCGAGTAGGTGTGTGAATTATCTTTCTTCTACGTGAGTTTAAGTATGCTACAAGTTCCGAAATCACTCTCGAAAGTATTTACTTCAAAACACATAGTACATTCAATATTATTAATTTTCTATCTGCTTAAATATATTATATGATAATAAAGATAAATTTTTAATAGAAGTGCATTAATTTTCGTCAACTCTTTACATATATCTACAATAAAAAAAATAGAGTATAGATAAATTTAATAAATCAATTGGATACCAATTGATACACTTCATTAATTTAATTATTTTGCAAACTCAGTAATTATTCAATACGTCAGACATATTAAAATTTTTATATCTTATTATATGTTTTACATTCTTGAAATAATTATTCCATTTTGTGAGACACTTGATTTATTTGGTTAAAATTACAGGAAAATTAAACTATCAAAATGGCGTTACGCACCTATGGAGACAAACCCATAAGTTTCCAAGTAGAAGAAAATGGAGAATACTACTGCATTGGATCGGAAGTTGGCAATTACCTGCGTCTTTTTCGCGGGTCTTTGTATAAACGATATCCTGGCATGTTTAGAAGGTCCATAACTAATGACGAACGTAAAAAATTAGTGGAACTTGGATTAAGCCAACACGTTCTAGCATCCAGCGTCTCGCTATTGAGAGCTAGCGAGGTAGAGGATATTATAGAGGGCAATGATGATAAGTACAAAGCTGTGTCTGTGCATTCAACTGAGCCACCGGCACCTAGGGAAGGTAAATCCAAAAAGTCAATGGCATGGGTGCCCAGTTTGCCAAACAGTTCACACCTGGATGCAGTTCCTCAAGCTACGCCAATAAATCGTAACAGAGTGCACAATAAAAAAGTCAGAACGTTTCCATTATGGTAAGAAATTCTATAATAAAATAAATATGGAATTATGTATTATACACAGCAATTATAATCCTCACACATTTTACTTTTGATATAGTTTCGATGATACAGATCCATCAGCAAACTTGGAAAATGCAGCACAACAGGAAATGCTTGTTCCGATCCGTTTAGATATGGAAATTGAAGGTCAGAAATTAAGGGACACTTTCACTTGGAATAAAAACGGTACGTATCTGTAGATTCAATAACAAAAAGAACTCTAGTAAAAATTATACTTTTTGTTTTACAGAAAGTCTTATAACACCCGAACAGTTCGCCGAAGTACTATGCGATGATCTAGATTTAAATCCATTAACGTTTGTTCCTGCAATTGCACAAGCGATAAGGCAACAAATAGAAGCATTCCCACAGGAAACAATTCTAGAAGATCAATGCGATCAGCGAGTAATAATCAAGTTAAACATACATGTAGGCAATACGTCTTTAGTAGATCAAGTAGAATGGGATATGTCTGAGAAAGAGAACAATCCGGAGAAATTTGCGATGAAGCTTTGCGCGGAACTCGGTCTCGGCGGAGAATTTGTCACCGCCATTGCTTACAGGTAGAATAATAAATCTTTTCTTTACAACTGCAGAATTGTATTTATCTTATGCAGAATGATACGCTATACATGCACAATATGAGTTGCATTTTCTATTATCTAATTTAGTAATGTTTAATCTATTGACAGAATATCAATGGGAATAAACATTGAAAAAAAATATGTTAATTATTTCGAATATTTTTCTCATGATTTATATTTGCAGTGTACGCGGGCAATTGTCGTGGCATCAGAGAACGTACGCATTTTCCGAAGCGCCGCTCCCAACCGTGGAAGTCCCTTTTAGACCTCCGTCAGAAGCCGATCAATGGGCACCATTCTTGGAAACTTTAACAGATGCGGAGATGGAGAAGAAAATACGTGATCAGGATCGAAATACTCGGTAAGAATTAACTGTAGTCTTAATTGTACTTTATGATAAATGCAGGCATATCATTCATTCGCATATTTTCTCTTCCAGGCGTATGCGACGTTTAGCAAACACGACACCTGGCTGGTAGGCTGCATTTAGAAAAAGAAACCCAATACAATCCACATTTTTTAACGAATACTATTTCAATTTTTGGTATATATCCCTTGATATTTATAGTATTAGGATGAGTAACAATACAATTTTTATTTCGACGCCATCTGCATAGAATATAAAAAATATAGAAACAATTATTTGAAAAAATAATGGTTGCATCTGAAGAAATGCAACAGTACTATAGTCAATGGTGTTTATATATGTATGCTGTTCATGGAATTCACCCTTCATTATATACAAAATGTTGTAAATCTAATGGGCTATTCATATAAATTTTTTCAATTAATTTGGAGTCTATTTTTCATGTATATTTATTTGATCAAAAAATCTGATCTCTTGTTTATTGAGTGTTAGATATAAGTAATTCTATCCGACATATATACATAGTATAATTTATGATGTTATTGACATGTATTATATAACACTTTTTATAGTATCATGGTCTGATAACTGTATATGTACTGATACACACAACTTTTTATAGTAATCAACTTTGATAGCAAGGAGAGAATATAATGATTAAAATTATTCTCTTTATATAAAAAATTATATAATTGACATTAGTTTTGAATGTTGCATATCTAAAATATTTATTATGCTTTATATAAGAAAATTTATTATAATTACGACTATTATTTTATTTTAATCGGCCATAATCGTACGAGATAACATCATGTGATTTTATACTCATTCATGATAAACTATCACTCTGAAGCATATTATGTCAATGTGGGTGTTATCTAGGGTTGCCACCTTTTTTTAAAACAAGTAACGTATGTAACGCCTTTGAGAACGAAAAAAAGTACGTTAAATAAAAAAAAAGTACATATATTTTTTATATTATTTATTTTTCCATACATATTTTTTATTACTTTTTGCAATATCTAATAAGTGTTTGTCTTTTTTAAAGATTTCTACAGCGTCTTTACAACCGATATTTAAATTTAAATATATCAACAACTCATTTTTAATTAAATTTAGAGAAGCTTTGTTCCTCTAATACTAATATATGTTACGTGAACTATAGATTTCCAGGCGATCTATGCGCTCAATATGTGAAACGGAATGCGCTCATAGTAATAAATCACATATACGTGACACGGTGACATCCGCCGTGAACGTGTTAATGAAAACTTAGTATTCGTAAAATAAAGTATTTTAGCGTACTTTATTGCTTTACAAAATATAAAGTATGTACGTCCAAAATAACGTACAATACTTTATTTTAAAGTACGGGTGGCAACCTTAGTGTTATCTAACATTTCAACATCTCATTAATCATGCGCATCAGTATCGTGCCGATTAAATGCGAAAAGAAAAAAGAACACTTGTGCAACAGATAATTGCATTTAAATGTCGATAAATTTATATCCATAATTCATTCCACAAATATATGAGGATGTAAATTACTCAATACTTCATCATAATATTTAGTTTTTATTCATATAAAATGTAAGCATATATATATTCTACTTTCCGAAGCATTCGGATAAAAGTAGAATCGATTCCATGACGAGAGAGAGAGAGAGAGAGAGAGAGAGAAAAGCAGATCTTTATATTTAGCCCATACTGGACTGTACTGGACTATAGACTGGCGATGACAGGACCGCAATAGGCTTGATTGGTACCCTTAACCGAGGTATATTTGTCTTTCAATTCGCTCTTCATAATTAATTTTCAAATATGTATATAAGTAATTTAACATGTCTCAGTATCTCTCTTTTTCTACGTATCGGAAAAATTGTATTGAACAGAAACTGTTGAATCCCTGTAAAAAATACTGATACACGACGAGCCTATTCGAAGATCTATTTTTTCTCGCTTTCTTCTTCAAAAGTATTTAATTTATCCTAAAGAGAGAAGAAGTACAAACAAGCGCAATTAATTCGTACAGATTCCCTCCCTATCTCTCGTTTGTGTTACGTATATGTAAAATACATGTAAGGCAAAAACGCAGGAGGCAAGATGAAGCAATAACACGACTGACCACGACGTTCGTCGTCGCCGTTCACGTTGCGGAAGGGGAAGAATCTGGGGGGGAAACCGGGTGCGTTACGCGACTCATCGGGACACCTTGTGTATGAGTGTCAATCACGCTGCGTCCAGCTGCCGGAGTAGGCGGCAGCGCGAGGACGAGGACATCTAGATACTGCGGTGCGCACCGAATACCATGGATTCGACGAGGAGGCAGGAGCGATCGCTGGCGACCGCGTGTCGAGGCTCGCCGTTTCCACGGAGGCCGTGGATGAGCGAGACCGGCGTTGCCGCCGCCGTCGCCTCGGGCAACCTGGGCCTCAAGGGGGTCATAGCCGGTATGTTACTCTCTTTCTCGCGGCGAACGCCCATGCTTCCCCCTCCCCTCCCGCTTTCTTCCTCTCCGTCGACCTTTGACACCTGTCAGGAGATCGTTCGCGGAGGAAACCCTTTTTCGGAGTCAGCGCACTCTGGCAAATCGTACGATGGTACGAGTGATGGATCGTGCGATTATGCGAAATTGCATATGTATTTATGTATATATGTATTCACCTCGTAAATACTTTTTCAAGTCTTGAGACGTGACGAAGACGTAGCTCCGAATTACGTCCGCTCCTTTGCACCATGACTTTCAGATCTACGTAAATAATTTGCAATTGCAGAAACGTCACAATGTATTTTATAATTCTATAATTTTATTTCTATTTGTTATAATTATAATTCCTTTCTCTTATCATTTTTTCCATATTGATTTCAAAAAATCTTGTTCTTCTATTGTAATATTTTTTAATGACAGATTTCTTGAATTACTCGCAGTCAGTCTTTCCTTGACAAAAGATTTCTTCAATAATTACTTAACGCATATACACCATTTATTTCTAAAGTTACAAATATACTTGAGAAAATATACAATTGGTATATTTTTAGGTGGTATTACTGGAGGCATAGAAATTTGCATCACATATCCAACGGAATATGTAAAGACACAGCTGCAACTGGATGGAAAAGCCGGTGCTGGCAAAGAGTATACAGGAATAGTCGACTGCGTAACCAAGACTATTAAAACTCGTGGATTTTTCGGCCTATATAGAGGTTTGTCCGTCCTACTCTACGGTTCTATACCAAAGTCGGCGGTGCGATTTGGTGCTTTTGAGACAGTGAAGAACCAATTAGTGGATACGGATGGAAAACTCAATGCGCAAAGAAGACTCCTGGCGGGTCTTTGCGCCGGAGTATGCGAAGCTATTTTCGCGGTCACTCCGATGGAGACGGTTAAAGTAAAATTTATCAATGATCAACGTTCGGCAAATCCAAAATTCAAGGGATTTTTCCATGGAGTGCGCTTGATTGTAAAGGAACACGGTAGGATAATTAGTTTGGGAGAAAATAAAATTTAATTATATGACATATATATATAATATATTTTTCTTGAAATTTGAAGAATTAAGTTAAATTTTATTTTATTATATTATA